CAGCCGACCCTACTTGGCGAGTTCTGGGCCGGTGAGGGATACTGTCTCAAAATGAAGTGACGACTTTCGGAGTGTGCTTGGGTGACCTGGCCAAGGAGGGAGCTGTGGAAAGAGAAAAGCTCCCTGGGTTGTGATATTAGCGGAGTTCATCTCTGGTCTTTAGTCTGCTCTGAGAAACGACTGCTGTTGGGGTGAATAGGAGCAGGGAAATCGGAGCCCTGGGTTCTTCTCCCCAGTTATCCCTCCCATGATGGGGACAGCTTCCCGACCCCCAAATCATCTCAAAGGGATGCTGCCATGCCAAACTCAGAGACCAGAGCGTGGGGGGGGGTGTCAGCAGGAGGAGTGGGTTGCAAAGAGCTTCCTGCAAAGCTCCGCCAGGGGATGTCTGCCGAGCCACAGGTCGTCTGCTCAGACTCACCCCACCAGCATCTACTTGGAATCCCCGCCATATGGGTGTGGGACAGGATGTGAGGGAACCAAGCCAGCCTCCTGGAAATAACGATCTAGAGGGGAAATGGAAAATGACAGTCATTCCAGAGCGCTGCTGGGCGCGCACGGGATGAATAAAGAGCTCCCAGAAGAATGCTCACAGCCCCGCCCACTAACAGGACTCCACGACGCTCAGATGAGCACCACAGGTGTTCCGCTCCAGGCCAGGCAGTTCCGCCTAGAATGTCCTCCCTCTCAGTCCCCAATGCTGAAGTCTCCTCTGCGGCTTACCACAGCAACACCCCTGCTCCCAGAAGCCCCTCTGTCTTCCTTGCACTTCACGCTCTTAGCTAGGCGCTCCTCCCTGGCACCTTTGATCCCGCCATATTAGCGGCCTTGCGCCGCCCCTCACATGAGAGTGAGGGATACACCCTACACCCAGTAAGAGTTGTGCAGATTCAATCTGTAGGGGTTAATCAAATCCAACTGGAAAATGCTATTGGTCAAAATAATGAAAGTATGCGATTGTATTTGCTGGCATGGAAGGAAGGAGTCCTAGAGTAATGGCAGCCACTCAGGAAGCTCACAGGGGATCAAAACCTTGAGCTCAGCCTGGGCAACTTAGTCAGACCCGATGTCTAAATGAAAATAATAAAAAGAGGAAGACAGGTGGGAAGGTGGGGAACAGCCGAGCTCGATGAGCTGATGTCATCCCCAGGACCCTCACGGTGAAGGGAGAGAAGAGACTTGATGTGGCCACACACACACTTTTTATAAATACACATACACAAAATAAATTTTAAAGAGGGAAAATAATAGTCAGGAGGGGTGTTGCTCAGCGGTAGCACGCTCACGTGGTACAGGAGGGCAAGCTTCAGCTCTCAGCACTGAAATCTACAAGGGTCGTGTCACGGAAACAATCAGTGTTAAAAAGCAGACTGTGACCTAGAACGTGCCGGAAGGACTATTCGTGTCACTGCGGATGTGTCTGTTCCCACGACGGTCTGGACAGGAAGCGCGAGATCATCCAAACAGTCCATTGAAAGGTGTTTAGGTGAAAAGGGGGCCACGTTATGAGCAGTGGCAGAGGGGATGGGCTGATGACAAACTTGCAAAGTAGGGTCCCATGGGCAAAACGAACAAAAGGCAAGAGTGTTTCCAGGCCACACACAGGCTTGGATCCTCCTGCCTGCAGGGACGGAAGCCGGGAGGAGCCATCCCTGCGGTAGTAACTCAGGGAGGCTCTCCTGAGCTCTTCCTGCCCCGCCTCCCACGCTGGACGTACAGAGAGGCAGGCAGTGGGACCGCAGAGAGGTCATCTCTTGGGAGACCAGAGTAGGGCCGGACACGGGAATAGGGCCTCAGAAGGACGCGTTCGCTCCTTGTCCTTTCCACTTCGTTTTATTTTCACAGCGAGTGGTTGTCATTTCTATAACCAGGGAGAAGGGAAATAGGCATTTCTCTTAGTTCTCAGATCACCCAGAAAATCCACGCGAAGGGGAAACACGACCTAACACGTGCCCCGTCACGTGTTTCTGTCTGCAACCTGCAAGGTTAAACAACCGTCCTGTTGACTGAACTCTTTGGGGCACATTCTAGGCAAGACCCCCGGATGTGAAGCTGTTATCTAACGAGACACATGAAGGCGTGGACCCCACAAAGCCTAAAATCTGTCAGAAAGCTCAGACACAGGTCGGGATATGACAGAGAGGAAAGGCTGCGAGGGACAAAGAGGTAGAATTCGGGGTGTCCTAACCCCCAGCGAGTGTGGCCTCTTCCCTCTGCTGAGAGGAGTCTGGGACTTTTGCTAACATTAGAATAGAGGTGTCACCTTTCCCACCGGACAGACAGACCCACAAACATTTAGTCAAACCCTCCATTTAGTCAACTGCAGACTGGGAAACCGAGGATGGGACTCAGGGGGAGGGCACTTACCAGCACACTTGAGGCCCCTGGCCTTCAGCCCCAGCATCACAAAGCAAAAAAAAAAAAAAAAAAAAAAAAGAAAGAAAGAAAGAAAAAAAGAAAAAGAAAGAAAGAAAACAAGCAGGGACTAAAGAACATAAACATGAATTTTGGTTAAGTTTCAGTCTAAAGACTCAGCCAACTGAATGAGTGTTTCATTCCATGCCATGGTTCTGAGTCCTTCTATGAGAACTGGCCGAATTGCTCTGTACCCTTGACTACACCGCCACTTGGAGATGTGCCTTGAATTCTGCATAGCTTCCACTGTGACTTTCTTCTATATGAATGGCTCCCACAGTCTCAGCTATGGGAATCTTCTTATGACCCGCCCCAAATACGGCAGACTCCCAATTGTCAATGGCTATTGCTGTAATATTCCTCTAGACCGAGCAGAAGAGATGTCCGGGGGATAAAATGCTTGCTGCACTACCCCAAGGACTGGAGTTCGGATCTCCAGCACCCACATAAAACTGGACACGGTAGCATGTGTTTTGCAGTCTTAGTTCCTATGAAAATGGAGGCGGGAGAATCCCCGGAAACTCACAGGTCAGCTGCTCCAGCATCCATAGCAGCACTGAGACCCTGTTTTTAATGAGGTGAAAGACAAGGACCAATGCCAAGACTGTCCTCTGACCTTCACACATGTGTCTTGGAACACACACACACACATACACACACACACACACACACACATCATCCACATGCAAAATTTTTAAAAAGTACATAGATGATGAGCTATAATGAATTTAGCTGTGTACTGAAACAAATATGCATTTTATTAATTATAGCCATCTGCAAATATTTAAAATAATAGCTCACATGAGTGGGAGGTGTTGCTTATTTAGTTTATACAAACATTGCATAGTCTCATCTAACAGAGATGAGAGATCTACCCACTCTACCCAATCCAAGTGACTGGGTGGCCTGCCTAGGAACCTGCAAGAAGCTGGATCTTGAGTGAATTGCAGGAAAGCAGACCATCTGTCTAGAAGTCACCACGAGGCACACCGGTGATCGAGTTCAAAATGAATGGAAACAGTCACTCACTGCTTGACCCTCCTGGGTGTGCTTAGGCAGAAGTCACCACCATAGCTGAACCAGCAAGGCTTGAGCGGTGCGGAGAGACATCTTAGCTCTGCATCCCTGGAGAGCAGCCAGGGCTCCGTCCTCTGTCTTCTCACCTCTAGGCCATCAGAAATCATCATAAATATGCTTTGCCCAAGGGGTTGGCTAGGAGATGTCATGAAAGAGGATGGAGCAAGGATCTTGAGTCTTGGCTTTTTCTGAGTGACATCTCAGTGCGGACTGGGTCACTGGTGTTCTCAGCTCCGAAGGGTTGAAGTCACCCACCCTTGGTATCTGTTGTATATGGGGCAAAAGGGAAAGTCAGTCTATGAGCTCCATGTGGAGAGAACACAGACACCACAGGGCACCCATGATAACAAGGAAGCCTTCCTGACCCAAGAATGAGGTCGCTGTTCTGTGTGGAAGCTGCAGTCTTCAGAGTGTATGTTTACACAGGTAAACATGCACATTGTTTCTTGGTTCAAAATGTCTGCTCTTGGAAGGAGGCAACCAAATGCATTCAGGGGCCAGGGAGCCTTCTGCTTCTGAGGGAAAACTGGCGTCTTGGAAGTGTGCCAGGTTGGATGGAGTCTGGACACATCCCTGTCTGTGATGGAGAGGATTTGAATCAACACAGCAGGATCTAAAGGATTCAGCAGACTCCACCGAGAGTCATCCCCTCCCCAGGCCCCAGGAAGATGCTGGTTTGGATTCTGAGCATGAGCCAAGTGTGTTCTACGTTGACTGTCTGTATCAGTCAGGACAGTTAGATGCCGGCTACTTCCTCTGTAAAAGAAGGCAGCCAGGGGTTAAGGACCTTGCTCAGTGGGAAATAGAGCTTGTTGTGCAAGTAGGAGGACCTGAGTTCAAATCCCCAGTACCCATGTATTAATAAAAATCATGTGTTGCCACCTCTGCATGCCTGTAATAGCGGTGATGTTGGGGGAAGAGATACGAGAATTCTGGAGGCTTGTCAGTCACCAGCCCAGACCTGGGTTCAAGAAGAGACCCAGTCCTGTGGGAATAAGAGGGACCTCTGACATCTTCCTCGGGCCTCTGTGTACACTTAGGCTCATGAACCTGCACATGTACACACCCACAGACTTACACAGAAAAATAATAAAGGAATCAATAAAAATAAGGAAGGCAGCAAGCACTGGGTTACAACCTTCGTGGTGCTAAGATCTGGAAGGATAGCACCTTGCCTGTCTGTACCCCCAAGTTCACATTCTGGGTTTCTGTGTGAGAACACAGGGTAACCCACCACCACCTACTGCAGTGTTGGCCTCAGCCTCACGTGGAGTCAAAAGAAAAGATGCTGAAACAAACATAATAAAGACATGTTCTGGGCTGGCAAGAGAGAAGGGAGGGTAGAGCTGCCTGCCACCAAGCCTGGTAACCTGAGTCCAATCCTAGGAGTCCACACACAGGGAAAAGAGAAAGAACCCCCATAAGTTATCCTCTGACCATCACACAAGCATTGTGGTACATGCACACACCTGTGTGTGTGCAGGGCATGCTGTGTGGGTATGCATGCGTGCGTGCGTGCAGGTGTATGTGTGTGCGTGCGTGCACACCTCCTCCTTCTACACACATACACAAGAAATAAAATTTTAAAATACATTCTGGCTCTAAGATGTACAGCAATGCTTGACAGTGTAGCCAAGAAGGAGGACACACGTGGGTGAAGTGCTTACGAGACTGCTGACCCCACGTGGAAATGTGGCCCAGTGGGATCCTGTAACACAGCCCGGCCTCCGCCCACCAAGGTGTTAGGTGTCAGCATCTCCTCGTTGTAAGTAATTGCAAAGCCACCAAGATCCCCAAATTTCCACTAGGACTGCCAAAGACGCCAAATGCATATCCAAGTACTTCTGGATCCATCTCACATAATCTGTCCTCTGCTGCCCAAGCCAAAAAGGAAACCTGTTCACAGACCTAGCAGGGATTTTTAGAAACTAGGTAACTACGCACCAAGGAGACATTGAGTGCGTTCGGCCTGCCTGAGAAATAACTGTGACAGAAAGGAATCAATTACGGCCCATCTGCAGTTCGTTAATACGATCTGTTGAAAAAGAGGCCAAATTCACCAAGTCAACCCAAACGTCTAAAAATAGGACCGGTGTGAGCCTGGCCCAGAGCATATTAGGCAATAAAAGGATCCCTACATCTGCAGGAGCGAGAGTCCCCGGACACTTCCTTGCTCTTTACGACTTCTCCACAGAGGTAATTGGGAGTGGAGACATTTTATTTTCCTTCCAGAAAAAGAGAAAAACATTCCATGAGGATCATCGTGGCCAAAAATAGCATCCTGTGCTCATGAAGCCTCAGCTCAGAGACAGAGTTCACTTGCACAAGTCTGACGTGTTCCGGAAGTCGCCAGCATCTCCTCTTAAATCACGCACAGAGCGTGTGTCCTCCGAGAGAAGCAGAAGGTTCAAGGGCAGCCATTCCCAAAGTGGGACAGAAGTACTGGCTTTAGGAGGTCCATCAACGGACACCCGCTCTGGGAGAGGGTCGCGTGTGTTGTCAAGAGTGTCAGAATGAAGCCTAACTGCCCCCCCCCTATGACTCCAAGACGCTCTTCAGGGTGACGACAGATCTAAGACACATGATGGTTTTATGTGTGCAAATCGTTCTCATTTTGTCGTGTGGGGGGAGAGGAGGGCGAGAGCAGTGAGAGGAAGAGAGGCGGGAGAGGGAGAGCTAGTGCACACACCAAGGAGGGGACTGTCCGTGTCCTGTTCTGTCACTCTCCTCTTTATTCTCTTGAGACAGGGTCTCTCGCTGATCTAGATCCAGGACGGCAGCCAGCCAGCTCTGGGATCCTCCCATCGTCTCACGCCACAGATAGACCTGGGCTTATAGACAAGTGTGCAACCATGCCTCGCTTTTTACACGGCTGCTAGAAGCTTGAGCTCGAGTCTTCATTCTTGGTCAGCAGGTACTCTTCCCAACGAGCCATCTCCTTGTGGTCTTCCAAACATACTGATGGATGTTTAGGTGGTAGGCAGAGATGCTAAACAGGATATCGGAAGGTGGCCCGCAAATAGTTAAAAGTTGGACAGTTGTCTTCAGGACTGAAACCCTAGGGCTCCTATGGCTCGGAGCATGGCAGATTCGCCTTTGCAGACAAGGAGCTGGCATGGACTTGGGCACAGCGGCGTCTTGGGAGCTATGTCTCCTGACAGAACGCTCCTTCAGCGCTAAGGAGAAGCTTTGATGGCTGCTTCTTGCCGCATATGAGACCAGAGCACCAGGGACACGTGGACAATAAGTGTCTGCATCCTCAGAAGTCCTGGCATCAATGCAATATCACTTGCATTGGGATTTTGACAGCCTCTTCTTGTGGAGGTCACGAGGAGGAAAGCTACTGTAGAAAGACACTCCGTTCGGCCTGATTTGGGGAGGAAAGAAGTTCACCTTGTCATGAGCAGGCCATTGCCCCTTATCCACTCAAAACTTCTTTTAGGTCCACGAGACGGGAAGGGCAGGCAGCCCACCCCCCCTCTCCCTCTTCTCTTTCCCCCTCCCTCTGAAGTGTTTGAAATAAACTTCTTACATTGATTGTGTCTCTTGACTGAAGTCTTAGTCATTGTCCTATTGCTGTGAAGAGACACCATGACCAAGGCAACTCTTAAGCAAAGCATTTAATTGTAGACTTGCTTATAGTTTCAGAGGTTTAGTTCATTATCATCATAGCAGAGAGCATGGCAGTAAGCATGAGAGAGAGAGAGAGAGAGAGAGAGAATAAAGGGAAGAAAGAAGGAAGGGAGGAAGGGAGGAAGGGAGGGAGGGAGGGAGGGAGGAAGAAAGAGGGGGAGGGAGGAAGAGAGCTCAAGCATCTGGGCCAGACATAGGCTTTTGAAACCTCAAAGCCCACCCCCAGTAACACACTTCATCCAACAAGGACACACCTCCTGGTCCTAATCCTTTCAAATAGTTTGACTCCCTGGTGACTAAGTATTCAGATATATGAACCTATAGCAGGCCATTCTTATTCAAACCATCACTACTGAATTATTTCCTTCAACAGAACAGGAGAGTCCCCACACACACACACTAGAAAAAATAGTAATAGTATCTGCCTAAAGCCTTTTGATGTTGCACAAGCCATGGATGTTTGCCATGTTGGGAGTCTAAACCTGAATAGACTGCACCCCAGAAAGAACGGCAACCATGTCCTTGAAGGGGAACCAAGTATCTCTGGTGCCCTGTCCCTCCAGGGAGCTGAGGCTACAAGCACAGGATAGGGCTGTGTGACCCCCTTGCTTTGTTCCTTCCATGAGGAACCTTTCGAATATACAGGGGCTTTGACACCAAGCTTGTCCACTTTTTGGAGCCACAACAAGGGTCTGACAAGAGGCAAAGGAGCTCTTTCCATGGTTCTGCGGTTTGTATGTTCCTGAGATAGGGTGGGGGCAGGTTCGGGGAGCACCCGTTTGGCCCACAGAAGAAAGGAGAAATCTGGTACCTTGGTAATGATCCTTAAACGTCCTCACTTCTGGGGGGAGAGAGAGAGAGCAGCCGTCCCCATCGTGGGTTTCTGCGTGGCTGTTAAAAATACCGAATTAGACCAGACACCAAAATAGTGGAAAAGAAAAAGAAGTCAAAATAACATTTCAGTGCGATTTGCTTTTGTGCAAAGTAGAGGCATTTATATAGCTTGTGTCTGAGCATGGAATATTTCTGGAAAGATTTAGCCAGACTGTTCACAATGGTTACTTATCCGAGCAGGATGGAGGGCAGGGAGGTGGCCTCTAAATCCCACTTTATTGCCGTCTGTGTGTTGGCCATTTTTGCCATGACCTATATTACTTTCATAACAAAAGATATTTTGAACAATGGCAAACAATGAGGGCAAAGCTTGGGTCACTGCCCCAGCAAGACTGAGCCTATGAGACACGTGTCTGAGTGAGCTATTCATTTGCATATACATAATAATCACAATAGATAACACATATCGCACTGTAATCACTATGAAATAGGCTTGCATTAGCATAATAATCAAAGCACAGAATGCGTATTGCATAATGGCCATTATGAGGCCTATTTAGGCAGAAGCGAGGCGTGGACACAGAAAGCAGTTGGGATGGGATGTGTCTGGGCTCCCCTGGCTCCAGATGGCGAGAGCCCCCCTCTCTCTCTCCCTGGCGTTGGTCACAGCCTTGAATGTCACACCTACAGCATTGACTGTGGGTCACCAGGGCCTCCGTGCAGCAGCACTGGAGCTCCCAGGAACCCCCAGCAGCAGACTCCATCCATGTCCTCCACTGGACGGATGCAGAGGCTGAGGCTATGGAGGCTCATGACACTGTCATGGCAACGAGGCTAAGTGTCCAGGCACACCCACATAGCCCTTTATATAGTGCAAACCTGTCATGAGGGTCTATCTCTCTATCAGTCTGAGATAAGATGGCAATACGGACCACCTCTATCAGGCCCCACCTCTAGGCAGAGGTCTCTAAAGGTATAGGGAATGCAGAGCCACAATATAGAAGGAGCCTGGATTCTTGAGCATCCTCCTATCTAGACAAGGCACGCACACCATGCCATGGCTCTGATGGCATGGCTTGTACCTAATGTTTCCCTAAACGATGCAACAGGCAAAATGTGCTATTAGGTCTATTAGATTCTAAGGGCCAAAAAGTACCCCTGAACATAGGGGGGTATTATATTTCTATTGTGGAAACTCATGTTTACAAACCAGACCATGTATCTGTTGTTTACTTATGGCTCCTTTCAGCTATCAGCTCCGGGTGGGACCCTGGAGCAAAGTCAAGGGTAGGAACAAGCAGAGCATGGGCACAGATGGCACCCGTCCCCAGTGTTATCTCCTCAGACACCCTGCTTTTCACAGGGTACGAGCTGAAGGTGAGGAGGGCCCCCAGTCAGTCCAGTCTGTCATAGCCTGCAGTGACCAGTTTTGTCACCAGGCATCTGCGGGCCAGGGAGTACTGAGTGCCTTGGTTTCCCCAGAAGTCCTCCTCCACCACCTGGGCAACAGATCAACCTGGGCTCAACTAACCCAGAAAACACAAACCATACCCTACCCAAACCACTTCCACGAACTTTTGGCTTACTGGTGACATCCTGCTTGCCTGACACAGTGGCTGAGGTTCGCCAAGCTCTGTCCCACAGAGATGCCTACCCCCTGTCCCTGCATCCCAATGGGGGTTGCGAGGAGAAACTGTGTGGCCCAAGAAGGTGAGTGTCTATGAGAAAGGAGCTGGAGATGGGTGGCCAGGGGTCAGAACTGTAAAAATGGCCCACACCTTCATCAAACTGGTGAGTCCCAGTTTAGTGAGCAATGCTGTCTTAAAATCAACCCAGAGCAGTAGAGAAAGACAGCCATACACGAGGGGAGCCTCTGACCTCTCCACACACTCCTCAGATACCTTCGATGTCCTGCACCGTTCCCAGGGTCTCATACCTATGACCCTGTCAGATGGAGAGATTGGATCCAACAAAAGATTAACTAACTCAATGTACTGTGATTCATCTTTAATCCCCTGTGGGAGCAGGGGGGTGTAGAAATATTCACTGTGGTACGGAGAGGCTGGCTCAGGAGATGAGGAGCTTGTTGTAGAAGAAGCGCAAAGACCAGAGTTCAGATCCCCAGTGCCTATATAAATACACGGGAGTGTTTTCGGTTAACCCCAAACACAAGGACTCAGTGTTAACCTCTGCTCTCCACAAGCATACATAACACACATCACAATACACATACACGTACACACACATGTATACACACAAACACGCACACACAAACATACACACCATACATCACACATGCGCACACATATACACACACATACCCACAAACATGCACATTGTACACACACACACACACACACACACACTCCTTGGGACCAGATGCAGGATCTGTTTGTTCATCCTGCTGACCTTAGACCCCCCAGCACCTTCCTAAACTTTGCAGTGTGGAAATCTCTTCTGTCAAGGAAAGGGTCCTCTTAGAGAGCCAGGAAGAAGTGGACTGCCATCATCTTATACTTGAGGCTCCCAGAACAGCAAAACTCAAATGGAGAAAACAGAAGCGTGATTGCCAGGGACAAAGAGGACGAGCCCAGAACTTTGTTACAACTATAGATAAGTACAGTTGTCTAATCTGATCGGGCAGAGTCTGAGAATTAAAAGACTTGTTCGGCTACGCCTGGAAATCCTCGGGAGGGTACCAGGAGTGAGATGTCGAGCGTCCTAGATGAGCAAGCATCAGCCTTTGGATTTCCCGTTGAATCCTGGTCTGCTGATTGTCGCAGCACCCCAACATCATCTCTGAGGTATTGGTGGTCCGTGCCACATCTGCCCAAGGCCCCCAAAGGGTCAGCGGGAACTGTGTCATCTCCCACTGATGGCTTTGGTGAAGACAGCATGACTGGCAAGTATTAAAATACAGAAGTGAGCCCGAGCCCCAGGGTAAATGAGGAACTGGCTGGTTGGCGCCAAGTATGGGCCGTTGGAGGATGAAAACCATGCACTCGTGTGGTAAGCCTGGAGGGGTATCTTTGCTGATGTTGTCCACGACCAAATGCCTACGCAAGAGAGTGTTACAGAGAGGCCTCCGACAGCAGGGCTTCACCAAGTTCTGACAGTTTGTAGAGAAGTATCTGTTGGTGGGAACCAGTGAACTCAAGAATCGAGGGGGGTGCAGATCATGTGATCTGCCTCCTTTCAATTGCAATTTCTTGGTGGATGCGTTCATAAGACTACAGGAGACACACAGAGGCCTGCGGAAGAAAGGTTTTTTTCAGAAACATTATTTTGAGACAAAACAGTGAATTAAATTGGCTTAGGGGAAGAGATGGACGTGGAATCCCGAGGGGCATGTCTTGATTAAGTGGAGTGAGCAGCTTCATTAGTGGCATCAGCTTTTGGTTTCCAGACTAACTTTGTTCCATTCATTCATCCAAAGCTGCTGGCGTGCTCACTCCTCTGCCAACTGCGGACGTTTGCCCTGGGTCCTGGACTCCACCAGATCCTGAGGATGTCACGATGAACACACAGCACCCGTGCAGATCACACTCCAGTGTGACGGGGCGAACCCAAAGCACAGAGCTTTGTGTTCACAACTCAGTGTGAGACACTTATTTGCTAAACCACACAGGCTGGAATCTGCACTTTAGAGTGCAGAAATACAGTTAGAGTACTCCTTCTGACTTCAGGACTTTCCTTGATCCCAGTAGATTAAGTCAAGACATTCAGCTCCCAGCCCAGGGCAGATGTCAAATCCAGCAGGAGACTGAAAAGCTACTGGCAATGTATTGCCCTTTAGGGGTGAGGAACTGCGGAGCCCCAAAGAAAGGTTTTTGCCAGCCCAGGTCAGTGCACGTATCTGAAGGGGATCTTTGGAGCCTGGGCTTCTTGAAGCACAGGACGGCGGGAAGAGCAGGGTACTGTCAGGATCTGTAGAGCGCTTTACACAGCCCCATAGTTAATCCCACCCATGAGTCTCCTATTTCATCTCCCTGACACACACCACAGAAGCAGGGGAGGACCCTCAAGAACAGCATTTACTCTCGTGACCACACAACTGATGGACATCACAGTACTGTGGCCGAGCCTTTCAAGACCCTTCCAGAAGGGTTGTACTATTGCCAAGATGAAATCTTAGGAGAGTCAATCAGGTTTTCCTGACCAAGCCAAGGAGGGAATCTGTCAGAATGCAAGGTCAGGACTACAAAAATGGCCTACTGCTTGCCAGTACCAGGGAGGCAGAATCAGATCGCTGGGGCATGCTGGTCAGCCAGTTTCGCCAATTGGTAAGTCCCAGTTCAGAGAGAGATGCTGTCTTAAAAAAATAAGGAAGAGAGCAATAGAGAAAGATATTCAGACATGATGTGAATCTCTGACCTCTACATGCACACTCTTTAGTTAGTGTATACACACACACACACACACACACACACACACACACACACACACAACACCCCACATCACTCCCCCAAGATAAGGGGATGAACAACGCATTGCAGATGATCCTCTTCAATCGTGTCTATGTGCTTAGATGTCACCTCTCTGGAATAAAGAAGGAGTCCACACCAGGAGGTCTTGCAGTCCCTGGAGGGGAACAGGAACTATCGACAGTGGTTACAATGCTAACGTCCTTTTCCTGGGTACCTCCTTCCTGCAGGGTGAGGCAGGAAGTGGCCGCCAGCTGCCTTCCCTGCCGACTCAGCTGTGCAGCCCTCTGCAGCCCGACCTCCCCACTTCCCCACTGTCCTTCGGGTGAAGGTGTTCTCCTTTCCTGGTAAAGCACACATTGAAGGGCGGGAAACTCAAGAGCACAGAGAGGAACAGCAGAGTGGGCTGCGGGCATAGCTGGAGGCAGAGGCAGGGCAAAGTACAGGGAACCGAAATGTCCCCTCCTTCTGCTTTCTTGTCACCGATGAGCAACACCCTCCGTGTCCACAAAACCCGAAGTGTTTGTTTTTGTAACGTCTCGCATTTTGTGCTGAATTAGTACGGCCACTGCGCCCCGCCATTTTTAGCAAGGGTGCGCGGGCTGTTTCCTTTGCAGAAGAGAAGCCAAGTTTCATCTCTACGAAAGCTGCACACAAAGAGAGGTGACATTTCCTGATCAGACCAGCAGATGTGCCACGAGCTTAAACAGGGCCTCTGGTTGACTCCCTAAGAAGTCTGCAGCAGCTAGGCAGATCTCAAAATACCCCATCGCAGCGGGATCAGACATTCAGGAGAATTGTCATCTGCGGACCTGCTGTGGGGGAAATAGAAACCTCTGGCTGTAAAAGAACCAGCTCTAGCATCAGGATAATAAATGTACCCTGAAGGCGCAGTTGGCATGAAGGGTGTCCTTGCAGGTAGTGAGCACAGATCACGGTGAGTACCAGAGGAAATATCTGCCCTTTGGCTTTGGGGATTGGATGGGAAGTGCTGAAGTGAAAGGGTTTGAAGCTTAAATTTACTCATTTGTACAGTTTAGAAACCCCAAGCCAGTTAACGAAGAGTCTCAATCTGGTAACGCCACAAGGCAGTTGGTAGCAAATGAAAAAACTCGCCGTAGAAACCAGTTCTCAACCTCTGCACACAAGATTCCCAAGGTGAGCCATTTCTGAAATATTAGCTCTTAACCCAAATCTACAAAACACGACTCCACGATAAACAAGTCAGCAAGCACCAGGGTGTAGTTCAGTGGTAGAGCAGTCACCCAGCTCCCACAAAGCCTATCCCATCCCCTAAGTCATCAAAGAGAGCAGCAGGACTGAAAGGAATCCCCAGAACCATCAAATACATCATGTGATCATCCAGCTATCGGAAAGAGGTTGTGAATTGTGATCAAAATAATTAGAATTGTAAAGGGGGGGATTAAAATTATGGGAAAAGGGGGTTGAGCCGGTAAAGTGCCCACCACAGCATGAGGCCTTGAGTTTGGATCCCAAGAAGCCACATAAAAGTTGGGTGAGGTCACTCACATAAGTAACGCCAGTGCTGGGTCAAGGAAGGCCAAGGTAAGTGGATCGTGGGAACTCATTGACCGGCCAGCCTAGCTGAAAGAAAGAGCACCAGATTCACTGAGATACCCTGACTAAAAAACTACGGTGGAGATCAGTCAAAAAGGACACCTGACATGGACTGCTGGCCTCCACAAGCACATGCTCAGATTACATACATGTCTAGCCACCCATACACACCCCGACATGATCGTATATCTACAACACATGTAAAACAAAATGTTACAAGAAAATTATTAAATTCATTTAAAAACACCAGAAATGTTTTTAAAGGGACCATATATAATTTCTAGAAGTGAAATATGTGCCAACTGAACATTTGATATATAGGTAAAAGGTCAGATCTGAACACTTAAGAGAACATAGGCTGGCTCGGAAGACGCCCTGGAATGAAGCACAAAAAAGCAGCGAGATCCCTGAGGTGGAAGGGAAACTCGGTGTGCTTTACCCAGGAACTCAAGAGAGGAGGCAGGGATCGGGGGCAGTGTTTCCAAAGCTGCTGCCTGAGAACTTCCTAGAACAGGGAGAAAAAAGAAATTAGGGAAGCATTGTTATCAAAGGAAAACATGAAAATCTGAACACATTGTAAGAGAAAAGCTGCCAGTGGCAAAAAAAATCAAAACAGAAAAGCAGAGGAGAAAGAAAGATGAAAAGAGACGGCAGGTTCACTCAACGGCAGACTTTTCAGTCCCAACAATAGGAGTCAGAAGTCAGTGGAACATGGAGGCTTGCAGAATGACCTCATTCACTTTACAAGCTAAAAATAGTGAGGAAACAAATAAAGGCTAAGCCAAAGAGCTTGCCTAGGGGCCACTCCTACGTTACAGAGACAGGAAGAGCTGGACACACAGGGTTGTGACCTAGGCAGTGACTTGGAGGCACTTCTAATCCAACACTCTGATGTCACCAATTTGAGACTTTAATTTTTGAACAAGAGGTCCCATGGCTACTTTTCACTGGGTCTTCCAAATCAAGTAGGCAGTCCTCTATGTGGGGTCTGAGAAACTGGTTCAACTCGGGAGCGAGCGAGCAGCCTTCTGTGCAGTGTGTGGGTCAGTGCAGCAAACAGAGCAATCGTGCAGAAAAATTAAAGACAGGCGTATGCAAACATGCTTGATGGCTTTTCCAGCGGACAGTGCTTAGATCCTTGGTGCAGAGGAAGGGGAGCACGCCAAATACCTTTAGGGACAATGCCAGGAAGAAGTGAGAGTCACCCAGAGACCCAGAGCTCACATCTGCTAAGCCAGATGTCATCCACAGTGCTCCAAAGACCCGAGCATCAAAGAAAAGGCAGAGGACAAGACAGAGTCACCGTCGGAGCCACCAGGAAGACAAACGTCTGTCTCAGGCGTGTTGACACACACGCTCACCATCGGTGTCCCTGTGGCGTCTGAATATTGGCGTCCGTCAGGCAGCTAGAGACCTATAAACAGAAGCAGACGAAGATCTGTAGGAAATCACCCTTGTGGTGCTTCACATGGGACAGGAGCTGGCGACAGGTACTGCAAGGAGAAGCTGAAGCCAAAACTTCAATGGTGGGGCCTGAGATGGCTCAGTATGCAAAAGGCTTGCTATGCAAGCCCAAGGGTCTGGGTTTGGATCCCCAGCAGTGCACGGGGTGCAGAGGTGCAGGGGGCACGTGCTCACAATCCTAGCAGTGGGAGAAAGAGACAGGGCTCAGGGGCCAGCAAATCAAGCCAACCAGTGAGTTCCAGGTTCAGTTTTACTGAAAGAATCTGGTAATACCGAGAAGCCGTCTTTAGAAACAGTATCTTCTACTGTTATAAAGCTATAAAGATATAAAGCTATCTTATTTATTATTTTTTTCTAAAGACTCAATTTAACCTTAAATGGTAATGGGGTCGATTCACTAAAGCATTTTTTCTCTATTGCCCTGACTTATAATGCATGGATAGTTAACCGATCCAGTTGTATTACATTGTGGATGTCTGGGTCCATCAGGCAAAAGGAAGTATTTACACTCAGGGAGTGAGCGCCATTTTTTTGGACAAACCATTCTGAGCCACGAAATAGCCTTTTACTATGAAGGTTATAACAGAAGCCTCTCACCTTCGGTTTCTGTGACTGTGCAGGGAGCGATGAGAGCCGGTGGTCGGTTAAGACCCAGAGGGAGGGAGAGACAGAGACAAACAGAGTGTGGGGGTCTCCGGGTTGTGCTTGGTGTCAGGGTCTCATCGGCTGCAGCTCTGCAAACAGATTTGTTTTAGGACAACCCACAAGAGCCCCATTGAAAGGGAAAGTGGAGACTTCCTAGCGAATTTAAGTACAATAAAATGGTAATTTATAAACAGAGGAGTTGTTGGGCTGGGGACACAGTTCTGTTGGCAGTGTGCTGGCTTTACGATCACAGAGGCCTGAGTCTGAGCCTCAGAACCCAGGAGGAGAAGCTGGGGAAGATGATGTGGGGTGCCGGAATCCCTGTCAAGTGGGTGGTGCCTTTGGGCCAACACCCTAGGTTAACGTCTGGTCTTCACACGCGTGCGTGCATACAAGCACATACACACACACACATACATATGCACATACACACCACACACACACACACACACACACTTGCCAATAGTAATATGAGTCTATTTTGCACATGTAAGCAGGACCTCTTCCTTGAAAATCTATTAAAATAAATTTCCCCAGTGGACCCAGAGTGCTTTTTCTCAGTCAGGACATGAACGATATGCAGACGGAAGGGAGATGTTCAGAAAACCATCTTCAAATTTAGCTTCGCGTGAGCATGGCCCGAGCCCTGTTCTCCTTCCTCTGATTGTTCCTCACTGTCGTCATTGTGGTGACATCCTCTGACCACCTCTCTCCTGCCAGAACCAGCTGTGGTTCTCAGAGGATACATACACGGAATGTATGTATACATGGAACATACACGGAATGTTTCAGTAAGGGCCCGAGGTGTGGAACTGGCTAAGACAGAAGAATGGTCTTTGCCTCCGCTCTCCTCCTGGATCCTCCAAGTCTTCCTCCTTTGACGATTCCTTTGGGTTGGCTCTGATGGCCAAGTGCCCACTCCCTCTTCCTTCAGGCTCTGCTCAGCATCTCGAGTGAGCAATGACGCTCCTTCCCAGCAGTTTCTCCCAGTGCTTTTGAGATGCACTCTTCGGGGAAATAAAAAAGAGAACAAGCCTCTTTCTTTCCTCTGCTTCCCAGGAGAGGAGGCTGACCACAGAGGCTGGCGGGTTGGCCGGTACTCAATGCTCCGGATGAACCACATGGATGACTGTTCCCCCCACTTCCAGGAAACTGAACCCCATGAAATAGTCGTCATGTTTCAGACACGCTAGGCAAGCAATGGGCCTTGCAGACTGCAAAAAGAGAGGGGACAGGGGGAGCCCTCGTGGAGCCCTGGTTGCTGCCGGTGGGAAAGACCTATGTCTCACGTGCCTCGCACAGGGTCCAAACTTTCCAAGTGAAGACCTTCACATTCAGCTGGGAGATAGACTCACTGGGCAGGGAGAGCAATTCTGCAGGTGAGACAGATGCTGGCGAGGCTGGGACAGCTCCAGGTGATTACAGTAAACTAATCAGGGAGCAATTTTTCTCTGCACCCACAGCTTGCTTTACTCTGGGCACACCTGACTGGGTATGCACACATCCAGGGTCATATCTGCGGGAAGAATGGTCATCGATTTGTATTATTTACTTAATTTGAATCAGAGTGACATGTCACCCAGGCTGGCCTCTCACTCACTGTGTAGCCAATAATAAGCTTGGCCTTCTGATTCCCCTGTCTCCGAGAGCTGAGATTATGGATAAGGCCCACTGAGTCTGGTTTCCTCGGTGCTGGGAATGAAGCCCAGGGCTGCTTCCTGCATGGTGGGCAAGCACTCTACTGACTGAGCTAGGCCTCAGCCTGGTTCTTTTTTCTTTTCCTTTTTTTTTTTCTTAAGCAGAGGAAAGTTTCGGCTATTGGATCTGAAGTCCACCCCATGTTGTTTTAGGAGATGGTAAAATATAAATACAAAAGCAGAGAATTAACCCAAGTTCGGGGCCCTCCTGGATGTGGATGTGTGACCGCAGAGGCACACGGTGCTGCAGGCAGCGCTGCCTATGGGATCTTGTGGAAGAGACTCCTGAGAACTCTGGCTCCTTCTGCTCCCCCTGTCCCCACTCTCTGAGCAGGCTCCTTGGAGAAGCTTCTACTCGAGAAATCTGCACATGACTCTTTATCCCAAAGTGACTGCTGAGGGCTGGACATCACACGAAACTGTAGACAAGCTGCCTCTGAAATTTCACACCTGACCCTCCGGTACTTGTGAAGGCTGGAGCTGTTGGGGGCTTCCAGTGTGAGGTGGTGTGCAGAGGGCTTAGTCTCCCCCCAGCATGTACAACAGTTAGTAAATACTGGTCAGCGCACCTTATAATCCCCAGACACTGAACGTCGCCGCCTGAAGACGGACAACAGGAAGAGTGCACAAGGTTCTAAGTTCAAGTTCAAGAACTGTCAGTGAGAGGGACAGGAAGAGAAGGGAAAGAAGGGAGAAGGGGAGGGGGGAGAAAAGAAGAAAGGGGCAGGAGCACAGAGGCCCTATTTATAATCCAAAACTCTCATTCATATGCGGGAGTGGAGTGTTCCTTCATGGTCAGTCAAGCCACACCCTACCACTGGCCCGCGTCCCTCTCTGGTGATGAGCACGCACGCTGCTCTAGCTGGAGAACCTGTGGGGACTTCACCTTCCCTCAACCCCTGATCAAAACGTGAAAACCAGTTTCCAAACACTCAGAGGAGCAGCAGAAGGGTGGGAAGGCACACATACTCTCAGCAGAGAATCAGTCGGGCCGGCCATCCATCTTCGTTTAAAGCTCAATGTGATCTCGATGTTCATATAAACTCAGTTTGAAGGCACAGGTAAGGGCTGAAGAGGGTGCTCGGGAGATAAAGCCCTTGCCATGCAAACGTAAGGACCAGAGCTTAGATCTAGAACCCATGAAAGACCCAGTGGGCCTGGCAGCTTCTCTGTATTCCCAGCACGTAGGAAGCAGAGGAAGATATATGTGATTCCACAAGGAAGGTGGCCAGCCAGAGCTCTGGGTTCAGTCAGACGCCCTGTTTCCACAGATAACATAGAAAACAATCAAGAAAGACTCCTCACGTCAACCACATGCACATGCACACGCATGCGCACGCACACCCACCCAGAGAGAGAGAGAGAGAGAGAGAGAGAGAGAGAGAGAGAGAGGTTGGTTGGTTGGTTTTATGCAAAAAATGAAACAAGCAACAATACCCAGGACACTGCTCACAATGGCTAAGAGACAGCATCAGCCTCAGTGTCTGGCAGAAAATGGATGAATGAGAAGGATGTGGGAGGGGCTGAGGAGATGACTCAGAGGGTAAAGTGTTTACTGTGCAAGACTGAGTTTGGATCCTCAGAACCCACATAAATGGCGCAGTGATGAACGCCTGCAGCCCAGGTGCTGGTAGGAGATGGTTAGAGAAAGACAGAACCGTAGAGCTTGCTGACCAACCAGGGCCGCCAAATCTGTAATCTGCAGGTTCAGTGAGGGATCCTGCCTGAAAAAATAAAGCCAGGAGCAGTTGGGGAAGACATCTTTCATTGACTTTTATCCTCCACACGCACATGAGCACACACACACACACACGCACACACACTTGCACACACACACACACACACATGCATGCACTATTGTTATACTATGCCACCTGATTGGTTAAATACATACACACACAAACATAAGCAACAGCCCCCAACAAAGAACACTGTGGATCAGCTCACACCATTGAGAGCCCAACCTTCCATAACATTTAAAGAGGACCCAGAAAATGTTAAGAAAAAGTCCAAAGACTACTACGCAAGTTTTGTTGAGATGGGCAAAGGATATTGGGGCAGCTCATAGTAAAGAAGAAAAAAACAGACAGTCAGTCAGTCAGACAGACAGACAGACACACACACACACACACACACACACACACACACACACACTGAAACAGAGCTCCATCTTACTGAGGACGTATAATACAAACCTAAGCTGTGATGAGTCCAAGGGGTGAGAGGACAGAGGTCTGGGCATAGCATATGACTCCCCCTGGGGTATCTGGAAACCTTATCAAAATATAAACACTCTTCCCCTTTGGCCTAATTATCCTGCTTACTGGAATTTGTCCTCCGGTTGCAGCAGCAGCATGGAAGATCTGCCCTGGTTTACAGTTTGCGGTAGGAAAAGATAGGAAGCAAACCAAACACCTACGGGCAACCGGCACTGGGTAAGATCAATTTATTGCGTGGCCGTAAATAAGATACTCGAAGGTTGTAAAGATGAGTGAGGACATCTTTATGTGCTGTGCTGATTTGAAAGATGCCCAGGATAGGCGGCTCAGGAAAAGAGCAAAGTCCTGCAGCATTCTTCACAGAACGCTCGCCTTGGCACTGGTGACTCCATTATGGTCTTCACTTGCGCTTCTCTGAGCGCTGTGAAACTGAGCCTCCCCCCATTATCCTAAGAGCCAGTGAGTCTCTCCATTTCTGTCAAAGAGAGGAAAGAGAAGAAAAGAGCGAGCTCTCTCTCTCTCTCTCTCTCTCTCTCTCTCTCTCTCTCTCTCTCTC